CCCCAAAACCCCAAAACCCCAAAACCCCTTTTATAGTCAAGCAAATTGAACTATTCATCAGAATTACTCATCCTCAAGATCCCAATTAATCTTCTTCACTTTCTTCAGCTTTTGATTCAGCATATCCTGCATTGATTTCATTTTGGCAGCCATTGAAGATATATTAGCTTTCTTCTCTTCCTTATGTGGTTCGAAGTTGGCTCCCTTTGAAGGGAAGTCAGGCTCAAGAAGATTACCACTCCGATTATAATTATCAGGAGCAATCATACTCATACTTACTGGGTCATTTCCAGAGCCATTTGACAACTTCTCATCGATATTTGTATCATATTTATACGGAGTGGCTGAATCATTCCGTTGTGCTTGGCCAAATTCCATTGGCTCATTATAACCGCTAGAAGTAAAATCTAGCTGCATTCCTGGGGTAACAGTCTTTCTAGCGCTCTCTGAGACCTCAGTGACTGTATAACTCTGGGAGGCAGCCTTCATTTTCTGTTTGCTCTTCCTACACACAATGTTCAGACTTGTCAAGAAGTCATTGTGATGATTCTGCTTAATATCCTCACTCTGGACTCTGCATATATTCATATGAGTATCAGTCTGGGGAATATGGTCGATTGCCTCTATGGACAACACAGAATTCTGTCACGTACTAATCTGCCCTCTGGCCATCTCTGTGTTTGATGTAACAGAGACCAGATAGCAATGTAAATTGTTGATAATGTTCTTGTATGGCATAAAAAAGCTAGCAATCTTTTTAAACAGTACATTTTTAGATTGACTGAACTCGTCCTCTTCATCTACTGATCACTCCTGGAAATCATTGGTATCGTAAAGGTATGTGTACATCAGAGTAGACTTTTTCCTCAGAGTCTTCTGAAGAGTATCAATCTCCTTCTTTAGTCCCTTAATTGTGTTGTAAATATTATTGATGGAAAGCTTATGGTTAATATTCAATCCCTCAAGCGATTGGTTGATCTTACTGAGTACAGAGCAAAGTTCAGAGTTAATATCACTGATTTCCTGCATTCCAGTTTCCTCTCCTTTTGTTACCATTAACAGCTGCTCATCTTCAAGGAAAGTGATGAATACTTTGAGTAAATTTACCAATTCTTTATTCATCAAAGCACCATTTTTAATAGCCAAATCCCATCTTCTAGGATTTTCTTGGTCAAGGAAAATCTTGAAGAAGTTTTTAGATTGAATTTTTAGGGCACCAACTTTGTCAGAGAGCATTTTTATCTGAACGACCTTCTTCTTAATCTCATGTTGTTCAATATGAGAGCCATCGGTTGGAAGTTTCCCTCTCAATGCTCTTGAGAGTTCATCCCAGATCTCATTTAGAGGATGCTCAATATTCCTGACACTATTCGTCAAGTTAAGCATGTCTTCCTGTTCAGTAGTATACTGCTTTAAATGATATGGAACATAGCAGGTGCTGAGAATTGCTGCTTCTGCATCTTTATAAGCATCCTTAAAGCTTCTAATTTCCTCTTCGTTCTCAGCTTCTCGAAGCTCATTTGAAAAATTGAAGTCTGCTAAGAAGGTTTCTAAAAGGACCGCAATAGGGTCCTGAGTTATCTTATCATTCATATAATTCATGTTCTTCTTTACCAATTCTTTAGTCTGATCTATCTGTTTCTTAAATTTGACTTTTAATTGCTTCAGCTCATCAAGCTTGGACTTGTACCTAAAAGTTAAACTCCACTCTTACTGATGAGACAACTGTCTCTTCTCTTCCTTTAAGGAGTTGAGTTCATTGGAGATCTGTTGCTTGTTCTGCACCAAATTTTGGAACTCAATTTCCTTTGTCTGTCTTTCCTTCTCCATTTCGTGTATTTTCTCGTTCAGCTCATCAATTTCTTTATTAAATTTCTTCTTGATCTCAAAGTTCTGTTCATGAGCTTGAGTAGTCTCTTCATTCTTCAGCTCAAGTTGTTCTTCCAGTGCTGATATAAGGTTGTTCTTCTTCTCAAGGTCTTCCTTGGAAATTGTCTCACCACCAAGCCAGCCTCCGAGGCCGAAGCTAAAGCCTTCGTTCTTGGATTCTTGGATCTCCTTACACCTGTTCTGGAGTACTTCGACCTTTTTGGTTAGTCTAGGTGTGAAGTGGGAAAGTACCTGTCTCTACTAAAACGCAGCTCTTCGTTCTCTTTTTCGAGGTCGAGCAGTCTATAGGAAAGATAGAGATTTTGGAACTTTGGAATTATGAAATAGTGAAGTTTATGCCATTATAACGTTTAATTATTTTAAGAGTTGCTTTACACAAAGAGATTCTTTTCTTAGCTATTTCATTTTCTCGAGCCCCAATCCCAATTTTACTAAAAATTTCCCAAAATTTTCAAAAAACCCAAAACCCCTTAACTCCCCTTATCTCCCAAAAATTTCACCTCCAACCGCCTCTACCCTCTCTCCTACCTCCAAAACCCCACCCCTTCCCTCCCCCAAAACCCCCTTATCCCCCTAAAACCCTCTTTCCACCCCCTTTTCACCCTATCCTCACCTAGAATTCATCTTGCCCACCCGTTCCTCTTCAGCATCATACTTATCCTTCTCCTGCACGAACAACTTCTTCAGTGCCTTATACTTCAATTTTTCTTCCTTAATAATCCGCTCATATTCTGACTTAAGCTGAGAGTCCATTGACATATCCTGCCTTTTAGAGGTTTTAATGTTTTAATTATTTTAAGATAATTTAGGGTTGAAGGGGTTTTGGGGTTTTGGGGTTTTGGGGTTTTGGGGTTTTGGGG